ACGGGACGGTATCTTTAACTATACTTTTTAGGCCATCGCTATCAGGGCCATCTAAGGATACACTGTATATACGTTTGGTGGGACAGGAGGTGCGCGGTGGTTCGGTGAGTAAGGCGCTGTCTCACTAACCACGAGATTGAAGGTTCGATTCAGGCGTTGGTCGAGGAAGATCTCCGGCTTCCCCCTGTCACTGGTGCAGGGGGTGGAATCTCGCAGAGAACACCATCTGGTCGTTTGGATAAGACGACAAACTAAGTCCCCCCCCACACACACACACACACACGCACCCGTGTACATACTGGCGTGCACAAAAAGTTAGATTTCGGACCAAGAGTAACAGGCGTGTGTCCAGGATCCGTTGCTGTTTGGATTAGGACACTCGGATTTTTCAAAGGTTGCAGCTGACAATAATTTATACGAAATTGCAGGAAAGATGTCAGCTATTTGTATGTTTTAGGTTATGTCCAAATATACAATGCCACTACAAGATAAGATGGATGAGATTGTTCTAACCTCCTTCCTATTCACCATTGGTGTATTAATACTCTCGTATTGATCCTGATATTTTATTGTTCTGCACGTTCAGGCTGAAATTATTTTCCAGTTGGTGGATTTCAAGGTTTTCAAACTGATGGGTCTCTATGAGCCATAAATATGTAATTTAAACGAGCTTCAAAGGAATGGTATAATGCGTAGAATTCTTATTAAATCAAATCGAATGCTTGCTCTTCATAGGAATAAATCCTGCGAAATTGGAAAGCATAAATTCTCAATATTTTTAGTAATGTTATCTGCATGAACTGACAGTTTTTTGGAGAAAAACGCGGAAATGTGATGAGACAAGCATGCCTGTGATCAGCGGGGGTGAAAAACGAGATATTTCACGAAAAGAAAGCCGAGAAACTAAATATGGATTTGTTATAGGACAGAGGTTTGATCTTTATTCTCGTGGGTTATCAAAACACCCACGGTTTTGTTGGTCGCTCTATGAAATTCTGTTATGCATAAAATACTGAATTACCATGATGTCATTGGTGATTGGCACTCGGGTTTATAATATGTAGATTTCATCTTTTGGTCCATTTATTTTTCAAGTCATTGTCTTTTCTGCAAGAAATTGAAATATTAACTGACAATTTGATCGGCGTGTATAATAATATGAGTACTGTATAGGAGGACAATAAATAATACAAAACTGTCTGTAAATTAGCATGATGTCATAAATGATTGTCCAGTGTAATGTTTACTTGACAGCCAGGTCTATAATATAATCGGACATGAAAACCGACCCTTGTGAAAAACAACTATTGCTAATCTTTACCATTCTCACCATAAAGATTATTCCGCAATGAATGATTTTTATCATCACCAATTCGTGTCTGTACATTCTATACGTAGAATGTTTCATGGCGGGCTGTTGTCCCACCAAATGTTGTCAAAGATATGTTTTTTTTCCTACCAATTTAAAATTCAGAAATATAAGGGGGAGGGGGGATTCTACGATTCCAGGGCAAATCAAATCATCGGCGATATCTTGTGACTCGGAAACGGTTACCAGTAATCTATTATTTCGAGTTGTCTTGAGATGAGTAAGTTAGCGCTATGTTAACATGGTGGTCGTCTGCTATTAATTGTCGATGTAGTAGACGAAAACCCTTGATTTGCTGTCATAAGTAACATTTACACCACCTCGTTACAATCTTCTCTATTAAACTCACAATTAGTCGAGACTGGATATTCCTCATTATGATACATGCTTAGTAATTGGATGTAAGTATGCAAAGCTATTCCATGATCATCTTTAGTTTATTCATAATTCATTCAAGGGACAAGTTCCACACTGATCAATGGGACAAATTCGAACCGTAAATTTAAAAAGCAAATCCAACCAAAAGTGGATCTAGTGTGCAGGTTATAAAATGTGGTCCTACCCAGATTGTTCTGACACGCATGACCTGCCATAACGGTTGCTCTGAAGAGAACTAGATTTTGGATCATGCTCTTGACTTAGTTCGCAATACTTGGAACACTAAAATGCCTTTATTGGAGAGTTTGTGTTGCTGTACAACACATTATCCGTTTCTTTCTCTGTGTTTGTATTACAAATGGAATCTTTTTCATTTTATGTTCGCTGTATAGATTCGTCTTGTTTGTGGTTTACGAAAGGTAACTAAATGAATGATAGTGGAAGAGGCATTTATTAGCTGTAACGAACGTTGCCGATGAATCTTTCGAGGCAAAGACCAAGTAACCTTAACCTCTCTTGTAAGAGAGAGATGGGGTTTAACGTCCACTCGACACAAACTAGGTCATTTCGGGACTAACATATGGTTTAATTTTATTTCAATAATTCGCTGCGCATAGGGGTCTTTAGCAGTGGGAGGAAACCGGAGGACCTGGAGAAAACCCAAGAGATTGGGACAGACGACCCAACTCCTTGTCACGTACAAAGGAGGATTCGAAACCACGCCAGTTGACTCAATGACAGGCCGTATGATACAGCACGCACGTGCTAACCATTCGGCCATCCAACCCCCTAACCTCTCTTGCAAGGGACTAGATAAGGATTTCTCTCCCGAACCATGGTTGTTCTGACCAGGTCATTTAATTAGCATTCAGGTGGTGAGGAATTGCCACATTTTTTCGTATTTCTAGTTCCACGAAAAAAATTAAGCAATTCCAAAGAGCATTTTTAAAAATCATTGTGTTCATATACAGGTTATAATAAAAATATTAAGAAAATTCTCACAATAAAATTTCTTGGAACTTCTTGCCGGCGGACAGATGATCCACGTTAGATAAATTATATCGAGAATTATTCTACTTGTCATATATTATTATGTCAGTAAAATAATTTATCTAACTTGCAAGACAGACTGAAGACAAAAATCATCAGTTGCAATGTCAGTTTGTACTTTTCCATAAAATGAATTTGTTTACTACATGTTTCTTAAGAACTAACGGCCTTTAATTTTAATATTAATGACAAACTCTGTTCTATGAAAAGTACTTTTATCGTCATAATGCACGGATTAAACTGTGTTAAGTACTAGTGTTTTAATAGGGCAAACATCCTCATTTACAAAAAGAAAACTTCCTTTTCAGCGCTTAAGCAGCGCCATTTCCTTGTGCGTTATGCCGGGCTCATTATGACAAAACATGTACAGCCGTAAGACGTATACACAAGAGAGGAGATATTGACGGCATTCGTCCAACAGATGATGGCTTCTTTCCGCAATACAAGAGAGTCAGTCAGGGTGGGATAATGTTTGGAAGTATCATGCCAATTTTCTCTCCCGTAACAATCTGGATGACAGACCGAGAGGAGTGCGCTGAACGATGTAACTGCGTTCATGCAGAACTGCCATATACGGCACTATGTCAGTGTGCGGGACTGTGTATCAGGGCTCAGGACTGAATTACCCATTAAACAAAATAAGCACGTGCTTAGGACATCATAATATAAAGGAGGACACCACAGAATTTCTGCTTTGTTAGATGACAAATCCAAAATATTTACATGTAATTCAAAAATTAGTTAGCAACTTTTAATTAGTTTTTCATTGTTTTTTGGGGGTCTTTTCTTGTTCTTACTGTTATCTTCTTTGTCTCAATAGAATGACGTGTATTAAAATATCTCAGAAAAACTCTAATGGGGAATGTTTAGTTCAAATTAGCAACGACTCGATCTAGACTATAATAACAAGTTGTGTTTCAAAATGCGATATTCATTTTTTATCCGTCGAAGTTGTTCAGCGTGACTTATTGAATAGGGAACATCGCTTTAGAGTAAAGGCATCATCTCAGCTGTTTCATCACATAACAAGGTAATGACATGGGGCCCGCTGCTGCTGGTAATTTTAAGCTATTTTGTACCCCTAAACCATCTAATTGCTTTAAAATTTTTTAGATTTGGGGCCGCTGTACATACGCACATGCACTGATGCAGCTTATATTTGGTAAAAATGGAATCTTTTCTAATCGGAATCGTTGGATATATTTCGATAGGGTTTACATCCAATATTGTTCGTGTCGAATTTACCACATGGATTCTTAAGAAGTTTCTCTATTATGTGCACAAATCTTATCAAATTTTGCACAATTCTAAACAGCTTTTCACAATTCAGCTGCAATATTATAGATAATTCTTTTTCTTCTTTGATACTTTCGTCTGGAGTGTTCGCAAGTGAATTTAGATTTTCAGCCAGGTGGTGTTCGTAAATTATGTCGTCATAAATAGTACTAATCCTAGGATTATTTATTGAAATAAAATGTAGGTGGTGAGTCACATTTAAAATATTTATTAATGTGACATATTTGGCTCTCTGTGAGTAAAAAGAGTGTTAAAGAAAAATAAGTTATTGACATTTAACTTGATGTCAGCGATAAAATGAACTGTTTAGTAAATAGATAGTTACCTCCCCTGAGATAAGGTTATAAAATCTCACTTCGCGTGTGAATTTTCCGTTTGTGACCGGAATAAGTCTTACGTGACCACTGGAAACCACGGGGTTATTCTAGACGCAGTCGAAATTATTATTTCAGTGGCTATGTATGCAAAGCAAGGTAAGGTGGTTTGACCCGGGTATTGACATATTCGCTTACCAACCTTCGGTTTCCAGCTGTCAAGACCTCGGTTGTTCGTACCACCCGAACAACTATGCACCCTTCTCTTATCAGCCTTGTAAGTGCCACCCGTGTACGCCATAACGGACCGAATTCACAATTTTTATAAACTTTATTGGAAACTTAAATTTTCTTTGCGGACCGAGTTCACAATTTTTATAAACTTAATTGGAAACTTAAATTTTCTTAGCGGAATGTGTCGAAAATGATTTTAGTACTCGCGCAGAACACCTTTCTGCCGCCAGATTAAATAGTTGTCCGATTAACTTATTATTTTTTTTAAGACAATCTAATGATCTATTTGTAACGTTTATTTTACTGGAATTTTATTTGGTTATAAATACATATTAGAAACCAAAAACATCCGGCACCAATTTCAAAAATGTTTATTTTTTTTAATGTTTCATTCCATATAAGTCAGACCTCACTTCATGTTTTCTGTGTAATTATACACATGGGTTTATTGGATTTTATTCTTGATATCTCTCTTAGGATCTATTTTAACCCAACAAAATTAAACATTTGAATAAAAAGTCACGAATTCAATCACTGAATAATAATCATTAAATAATATTTCATTCCATTTATGTTACATCTCACTTCATGTTTTCTATAATCTAATGGGTATAAAGGATTTTGTACTTGATTTCACACTTATAATCTATTACGTGCATTATTTTAATCTAAAAAAAAATAAAATTAAACAGTAGAATAAAAAGTCTCAAAGTCTCGGCAGTATTCCGGAACGCTTGACTTAAATAATGTATAGCTTAAGCAGCTTTCGAGAATGCTAAAATATAATTGCATAACTAAATTTTTTTTAAAAAAAACATAACACACAGAAAATATTGCACTTATAATAACCCGGTTGGTTCACATAATAAATTATAGGATATGAATATAGAATCTGGATCCTGTGTTCCAGATATTTATTCCATCATCTGAATTTCATCTGAACAATAGACTTGTCTGGATCATATGGCATGAACCCTGTTGCTAATCTTTGGCCTGGGAATTTTAAAACGAGTATGATTTATATCACCATTACTGAAAATAGAAATTCAAAGTTTATGAGAAATCCCCGGAAGGGGCGGGGCTTTGCATTTGTTTCGTAAGCAACATTTTAATTTAGCATTTAATAGCCCGACCTAATAATAACATAACATGAAATTGAACACGATGTGCTTGGTCCAGTGCAGTTTTTAGTTCTCCATTTACTCTTAAAGGGGCAGTCTTTAACTCAATATCATCCACAGTCTTCGACAATGCAAACACGCCTTATTGGTCAATTTAAATCAACATATTGATGTTATCTTACCCTGAAAAGTTGGGCTTCTGATATCCAATATTTAAGACAAAATGAAAATTTTAAAAGTGGCATAATACGCGGCGAAACATATCCCATGTGCGAGAATACTATCGAAGTAGACTGGAATAACCAGACGCCATACACTGCCATTCAATTCAGACTTTTCGCGTATTTCGCAGATTATAACTGATTAGAAATTACAGTAAAACAGAAACGATTGAATGTAAATCAGTTTAATTACATTCATATTACATTATTATATGCGTTGCGACCCATTTGTTTCCATTTGTCCCAAATAATAGCGTTTTATCTCCTTTAAGACAGCCGAGAAAGTTCATCCCGATTTTCCGACGTGGTTTCCCCTTGTCAGTGATGCAGGACGGAGGACCTGACAAGGACAGCTGTCTAGTCCTTCTGATGCCCGTCTACATTAGCCCAGTATAGGAGCAGAACAGTAGGACATTAAACCTCATTTCATTTCACTTCCTTTCCTTAAGACATTTACATATTATAAGACCATTCTTTTAAAAGATGACATTACCTTTGCTGTACCTGTGAAGTGCGTGCTGGTGCCACCGATGTTATCACATGATTATGCTGCATAACATTCTTAGAAGGTTTTATTATTTTCATTTTCAGATAGACTATCACAAATATTACAGCTAGAATGATTAACAATACACCCGCTACTCCAATTAAAACAAAATGTACTGTCAGTAGTTTAGCCGCCGATGATGATGTTGTAGTGGTCGTGTTCACAGATACTTCAGTTGTTTGCGTTAGGTTTGTTGTAGTAGCCCGGACTGTTGTAGTTGCTAGTGTAGTCGTCAGTGCTGTTGTAGTTTCTAGTGTAGTCGCCTGTGCTGTAGGTTCTGGTGTATTCGTTTGTGCTGTTGTAGTCTCTAGTGTAGTTGCTTGTGCTGTTGTAGTTTCTAGTGTAGTTGCTTGTGCTGTTGTAGTTTCTAGTGTAGTCGCCTGGCCTGTAGTAGTTTCTGGTGTAGTCGCCTGTGTTGTAGTGTCTGCTGTGTATGTAAAAAGATGTGAATTGGCTATCCATTGACACTGACAACAATAACCCTTTAGCTAAATAGTATAGAAGCCATCACGAGTGTTTTTGGAGAAAAAAGAGGAATAAACTAAAGTAAAGCAGGGAATCTGTGTCTATTATTATGAGTATGCATAACATGTAAATTACAACAAAATCTTCGAAAACAAGCAGCCATATTGTTTAGCTTCTACATGATACCAATATGTAATTTTAAAGAAAGTATTCACATTTCAAAATTTTAGGGTGGCCGACTGCAAACGAAACGGCCGGAGTGGCTTCTATATGGGACGGAGTGCATGGATATGTGTGTCGCCCGGGGCGTTAATAATTATTTGCTATAATATTACCTCTTTGCGTAAATTCTGTTATTGTGGTATCTACTTGGTAAATAAACTTCCCGGGATCCTCAACATTACTTTTTGATACAATTGTCAACAATTCTTCACTCCCTGAATCGGGGTAAAGGAACGAATCTGCTCCATTTCCTGAATTAAAGCCGACCTAAAATATCAATGAACCAATTTTTTTATCACAGTAGTATAAATACGACAAATATAAATAATAACCCCGTTTAGAAATTCCAAATTCTGCTATCAATTGAATACATCAAAATTACGCATATTTTATCTACGAGCTGAATAATTCAATTGATTAACTTTTTTTTTATTATCGGCATTATAAAATCGTTTGAAGCTTATTTTTTATCGGGGAAAAATAAAAACGCTTGGTGAAAATTCTTCTAAGTTTATAGAAATGAAATGAAATGGGCTGTAACATTCTACAGTTCTGCTCCTACTGGGTTAATGAAGACGGCTAAGTTTATAGAAGCATAAAATAGCCAATTATATTTTTGTAAATTTACCACAAAGCTTTCAAACTTAGCCATCCAGGGAACTAATTCGTATGTTTAGTTCAAAATATTAATTTTTTTTTAAATTTTTCTCTCTTTTAAAAAAAAAAAATAACTTTCACATTGTCACGCCCACTTTTTCGGGGGAAATTTTGTACAGGCTGGTGTTAAGGATTGTTTTGGTTTCATTCGAATAGTTATAACTGACCTAGATTATTTTTTAAAATATCATAATAGGTTTTCAGAAAAACAACAGCCTTTTATATGCAATACCCTGAAGAAATAAAAATAAACACACACACACCAACATGGATCAAGTGAAAGAAAAACAACAAAAAACAATAATAACCAGATACTGTAATAAATGACCGTAGAAAATTTTTAACAAATGATGTAATATTATTTAATGGTCTGCCCCTCCCTCGCATAAAATAACGCGGTAAATAAATGCTTGCAAATAATATATGTGCCTGTATCGACATACCGTATTTATTTACAAGTATCTCACTACTTTCTTTTAAGATTAAATGTTTCACTCAGTTATACTCAGATAATTCATTCAAGAAATTATACATTGTACATTGTAAGTACTTAGTAGTCTGATACAAACATAAATAAAAACATAGTAGATATTGAGGTACGTATATATGAACACGAACACACAGTGTTTTAGTTTTCCTTTTTTTTTCTTTTCTTTTTTTAAAAACAGATCTTATTATCTTATTGTTTGATTAGGGAAAACCGTGCTAGAGTTTCATAGCAATTCGTTTGCAGTGCGTTCGTCTCTCATGTTATATGCATGATGATGTGATTGCTCGAATAGCAATGAGACAGAACCATATTGAAATTCAGTATGGTATTAAACTCCTGTAAAAGTAAACACTCAACAGGTCAGAGATTTAAGTAATATCCTTGAGAAATACGTTTTAACACTGTTAAGTGTTCTTAACTGCACGAACGTCAAAGCTGCTGCGTGTCGTGTTTTGTTGCCTGGCAATGAACATTTTGAATTTATTCGTCCATTATTCTGAAACTCGCAAGCGTATACTTACATGAGTTAGGGTAAATAATTAAAGTGTAAGTATACCAGTTGATTATGTATGCCACTGATATATTTTAGTGAAATATAAAGTTTACTTTTAGTTTGCATTAATATATAAACTGTTCTTTACCTGAGTACGAATATCGACTGGTTCGTCAGGGTAATTTTGATCCGGTCTTTCATCAATCACCCAGTTCAATGTCTGATACTGGAATATAACTACAGACGTATTGCCGTCACTTGCCACTATGACTTGGAACGTATTACCCTGCACATGACAAATAAATTCAGTTATCTCAAGTCTTTCTTAAACATAATTAAAAATGAATGACATATTGCCGATCCTTGTTGAGCACCACATTTTGTGCATTATTAATAAAAAAGGACATATTGCCGAAACTTGAACACCATATTTGTGCTTTATTTTCTATTGTCGGTATACTAATTGTGATCACGAAATCTGACAGAAAATAAATGTATGACGTGATAAAAACCAAATATATTACATGGCTAAACCATATGGATGTCAGTTTATTTTGTTTTAATGAACAAAAGGGTTACAATACGATACTTGTGAAGTTGTGTAATAATGTGCACGTGAACGATGCATGATCATGTCTTTCCCGAAAATGATATTCCAAACATAATAACATATCACAGAAAAAATGTTCAATGCGCTTACAGTTCCTTCGCTTGTGTTGTTTGCGTAGGATTTAACACTCTCCCAGGTAGCAACAAAAACCCAGCCAGGATTATAATCAGGGTTGATTTCCTGATATTGTCTTAAGTCACTAGAGATGTTGGATATAGTCGTGGAATCAGTTCGAAGATGATAAAACACATTTCCACCATTTTGTACATAGATATCAGTACAATAAATACAAATGAATGGTTTTGTGTTGGATGTCCATGTTCCCTGTACATCAAATATGTTCAATGGTGTAATAAAGCTAATAACCCCATCATCATTTATCTGGAAAAAAAAAAGAGATTTGGGAGTTGCTTTTCCAGGTGTGTAGGATTCGTGCAGTAAAAGATGTAAACTGTAAAACAAACACACACACACACACACACACACACTCACACCCATACAACTATCGATGATGATGATGATGATGGTAATGACGGATTTAGGAGGTGGCATATATCGTAAACTATGTCCGCCAGTCTATCTGTCCGCGCAACCTTTCTTGTGCACACACTTTCGTCTTTTCTATAAATCCTCTTCAAATTTATTTTTCGACTACGAGTTTCAGAATTATCCCCCCATATAGTGTCAGACTTATGAACATGATGCAACAGGTGTCTTGGTACACTATTTAAAATCAAGTTGGGGAAGAACTCTATCAATTTTAAATCAGCCCCATTATGATAATGATTATGATAGTTGTAACAGAATACTTGACCATAGAATTGTTCCTGGTGTGTATACGTTGTGATCGGATATGCATAAGAAAATAACTTTTTATGCTAATTTTAGGATCTGACTCTCGATGAATTCAATGGTTCCCAACAATTTAAAATAATGATGGTGAACAAAAATGTAAAACTATTAAACTATTTAAGAGCTTTTGTTTAGCAACCATTTTTGTTTTTGTAACTATGATTCAATGTTTGTTTGTGGTTGACATTTACCATATTTTGTTGTATCTAAATTTACAGTAGTCCCATATTTTTTTCATTCTTATTTCTACAAATAATTCATGTATGCACAACTACAACGATGGAAATGTTTTTAAACCATTTAACTACAATCATTTCTAGAGAAGTGTAATATAGTCATTGAATAAAACCCGGCGGCCTACGTGATGAACATAAAACTTCTTGAAATATTAGGACATAAGTCGAAACACAATTAAATAGTAATAGTGTGATAATCTACGATCAGGTTAATATGATATGTTATCTCTTGTACACATCGCGCGTTTATCCCCTTATCATTATATCTGTATGTGGTTCTAAAACAACGCCTTAACACGTCTCCCTTTTCAGTGCTAAAATATTTAAATTATGTATATATAAAGTGTCTAAATGTATATATATAAAGATATTACTACCCACATTAGAAACATATAATTGTGCTAGTTAAGAATGCCGAATGTAAGGAGTTTGTCCCCAAATTGATGTACAATTTATTCGGTTAGGTATGTCTTGATTTATTTACAACTTATAAAAGTTGAAAATAGTCGCGTTTTTACGATAAACTGTCTCGATTAAAACTTATCGTATCGTCGAATGCTTATGTGAGCAATACAGTTTTTCCTTTAACTGGTGCAACTGGGATTACAGATAGTTGTTCGTTCTATCTGTGCAGCTAGAGGCAAATACCAAAGAGGTAAAACATTTAGCATAAATGTTCAATATCGCTTTTTAATATACTAAAGAAATATTAGACTGGGAGTGATCAAAACGATTGACAATCAATATAGATTTCAAGTGCCAAAGGGCTTTTGAAACAAAGAAAAAAGAACAAACAAAAAAAAAAACTTGAAAGTCAAAAAGCTTTGATCTTGTAACCAATATCAATTTCATAATATATGACTTACTGTAGCCTCTAGTGTAACAACAAGAAATGGTAATCATCATATCGATAGGATTTTCATCTCAAGAATTTAATCATCCCGTAAAATTACAGAGCGATCTATTTAAAGATTTCTCGAAAATCAATAGAGCTCTTCCTATATTCCTATCTACCAAGATCTATTCAAAACTGTAGTCTTTATTATACTACGATGATTCCAACAAAGTAACGTATCAAAGATAGTGGTTTCTAGATTTAGTGGACTATAGACGGCGGACGGACGGGCCATGGGCGACAGAAATATAAAAATGTGGAAGTATAAAACAGAAAATGTTAAACACCAGCTTTGTAATTGCAATCATTTATTATTATTTTTTTTTTTTATTTTTTTTTTTTGGGGGGGGGGGGGAGGTGAAAGAAATTGTATCAATATGCATAATTCCAAATACTAGTTGGGGCTTTTGCAAATTTCATTTAACATACAGTTTAAAGAAGCTCGTTATTGGCATAATAAACCTGACTTATTCCACTGTGTAATTAACGTAACTATAAATACTCAAAATAATTATAAAACTATACTTACATATAATTTACTATATTTATTTCCATAGAATTCAAAAGGATCAACAGAAATTTCTGCAAAACGATCATCAACCTTTTCTAGTGTTTGATCGCCAGCGGATAAGCCGTATGGCAGCAACGATAACGTCTCACATTGTTTAAAACAGTCACTGATAATGATTATAACTATGATATTAATATCCAACTCTTGTATCTTAAATTTCATCTCTCCCTTTCTTCTCATTTAACCGAAGGAAAGACTCGTCTTTCAGGTGATACGCCCCATAAATTTATTTACTCATGTACCAGGTCGATAATTACCCTCACATTTCGTTTGTGCGATCTTTTTTCTGCAATAAGAACACGCTTTATAAAAACTATATTTAAAAAAAAATCATTTATACAAGTAGTTCATCCATTTAAATGTTTATCCATCAGAAAATTTGTGACATGCAGAGTAATATAATAATTCCGACCACTTAACCCAAATCATATTGTATCATAATACACAGTTTCTCATCATTTAACTTTGATTCTTGTCTCTTTTGGATCACATTGACGTTGAGACCACAGATGGTGGTATTTATATATTTATAAACTAAACATCTGAAGTGTTGGTATTAAGTTGTCACACTGTGTCTCATTGAGTTACATACCGGTTATATTAACAATAAGAAACTCCTCACTAACCGTGACTGTTTTATTTCTAAAGCGTACCTTCATATTTTACAATTTCAACATAGCACGAACCATTAAAATTTCGAAACCCAACAAAGAGACCTAAGGAATCTGAGAAAAACAACACAAACTCTTTTTTTTAAAAATTCAATATGACATAACTCGTTAAATTTTCAAATGGAATTTATTAATGTATGCAATTGGTGGATATATTTTGAAAATATTTGGGTGTGTACTTGAAAGAAACCAACACTTTTATCCTCGATTAAAAAAGTAATCAGAGACAAAAAATATTTTACTTACTACTGGATATTACCCTTGTAATATCTTTGTTTACACAATCTTGATAATTTCCAACTTGTCAGTTTACACAATGCAGGGTTTAGAATAACTGATATGCATTACACAATTTAAAAGGACCACCGTCATTTCTCATTTATCAAGATATAAATTGCATGAATTTGTTGTTATATGTGATTACAAAAACTGGTTTGAAAGTGATGTCTTTTCCTATTTAAAACGGACAATAAAGTAATTAGGGTAGTGAAATAATGATATGTATATAAATATTGACATGGTGCCCATTCTCCCAGCATGCTACCCTTTTAATTTAAACTGCATGTAACATATCAACAATTTTGTAAATTACGTAGAAAACTGGTTACCGTCGGGTGCTGTTTCAATAATTAACACTTTTTATGTCACATCCAAAATATGGGTAAAATAGTTTGTTTCAAGAAGACCACTGTTCAGATAGTCTGAAAACAGTAAAATATTTGCAGCCTTTTCTGAGTAGCTTTGCGCAATATAACCCGCTAGGGGCTGACGTGCCATTAAACACCATTAATTCATTCCTTCATTTCTGTATTTTATAACACTGCATTTGTGCCTATATCAATGACTATGTAGAGCTACTTATTATGTTAAGGGGTGCGGATCCACAACTCTATTCTTCTTACCCAAAAGAATGGAACTTTGGACTTCATTATACTCACCTCAACTTTCTATCATGCATTAAAACACCTATCTTGAAATCTACAACTTGTATAGCGCTCTAAAGAAAACCAACCGTTAACGCCTTTTCCTTTATGAGAAGCTTAACAATTAACGGTGGACCAAAAAAATTCAAAACCATATTTAGGCTATAATTTATGTTTAAATATACTTCATAGCTCAATCAATAATGATGGGCATTTAAAATGGAGCATTTAGAAATATTTCAGAGGCCATTCTGTAAATTGTGTTTGTTTTCGCGCTTTCTTCCTACGCAACAGAATAACGAATCAATGCAATATTAATGGCATTCATTTCAGATATGGTTTTTTTTATTTGTATCTTTATAATATTGATAACAAGTTTATCCAATTATGAGATATAAAAACACAGAATGTAAACAACTGAGAATTCGACCGTAATTTAAAGTTCTTTGATGTTACATCTAAGCCTTTAAGCTAAATGACAGTCGAAAAAGGTGTAAGTAAAAGATCCAATTTAAACACAAATGTACTTAGGGTATATGTATTTACAAAAAAAATACAAAAAAATATATGGGAGATTGACTTGGCCTAATGCACAGCATTCTTACCTTCTTGTAGCTAAATAGGGCGATAGTTCATGAGAATATGCTATGTGATAAATGGTAACGGTAGGCTATGTTAGGTGTAGATTGAAATATTACATTCAATCAGGTAATACAAATTGGCATATAATTTGGATATAAAAGTTGCTAAGTTATTCGCAGTTGGTAGTTTAGTTCATTTCACCACATACTTCTGGTCTATATTTTATTGACCCCGGGTTCATTTATCTATTCTAAATAATACACTGAAAACCCCGAGAAGCTAGCCTCTAAATTCAGATCTCAGAAATTTTAAATCTCCAAATTGAAGTGACGGTTTGGGATCGGGGGAGTTTTGGGAGACTACCCATGAAAATTTGGAAAAATGGAAGGCTGTAGATACCATTTCCGAATATTTAGGTCCCTGGATCTAAATTGAGCTTGAGCAGAGGTGGTCTGCAATCTCGCCCCCAGGATTTGCACCTGATGTGTTTCACTTTAAAATACGTCGCCCTTCATGTATGAAGAAATTTTAAAAAAATCACAAAATCTAGGGAATGAAATCGGGGAAGATAAAATATTTTTTTTTAAAAGCACAGTTATTGTTCTGAATATGAGTGCATTATTAATTGTTTACAAAAGGACTTCGTGAAACTTTTCAAATGGCCGTTTTGTCTGAAATTAGATCTTTATAAACTGACTCTAAAGATTTCTTGTTTGTTTTTTTAAACAAAATATGAAGCAACCCGGGGCTATGTACTGATGCGGCTTCTTTGTAATTGAATGCACCAGTAATTATCAAAGAGATTTTTTAAAAATCTACTTAGGTAACTATTAGTATAGGCTTACTGCTAAACGGCTTATAAGGACAAGAAAAGATATATCATTCCATGGTTGCTTTATGTGAAAATGTTTGATGGAATGCTCAAGTGTTCTATTTATTATTATAAGCTTTTAACAGACAGCCATGGGAACCATGGGAAATATAATATAAGGTAATAAAAGCTGATCTCTGAAGTTCAAGACCGCTTCAATACCATACAATGACTATACGTTATTTACTATCACTCGCGTGACTTTAATGGTCAAAAGACACAGTAGCACCGAGTAGTAAATAAATCCAAGGTGGCGTCCAGAATCCACACACGCTATATGCCCCGACAATAACATTTTGGCGTCTATCACCGGGTTTCTTCTGTTACGAGCCCGTAAAGTCCAGTTCAGATACTCAATAAATCCAATATGGCTGTCAATCGGAGTCACTTACTATTCACCTCAAAATTTATATCTTTGGGTCTATATATGGGTTTTAATGGTAAATATATATACATGACTACGACAGACATGTATTAGCTTTGTGAAATGATTTCGGAGTTTCCTTATTGCCTGATGTCTTTCCCCTCCTTACTATTTTCGGCAAGTTTAAATATCAACCTCCCTTTTGTACTTTGCAATAATGTTGAATATTTGTTATTTTATAAATATGGTACCTGAAGTTCAATCATTAACGTCTAGATTTGATATTTGAATGAAATTGTTACTGATAAACAAAAATTAGTATTTCGGGATTTCATAAACTCCTAAGCAAACATAGGGGGTTCTTGAGAGAAATATTCAAGGAACAGAAATGTTAGAAAGTTCCTGGAATACGGATCAAGATATAACCATTTTGGTGATGTTAATATTGATATGTGTAATCCCAAAAATGGTTATTTGATCAACCCTTTGAATTTATATAACTTAGAACAAATTATATGCACCCCTGCCCGGGTAAGTCATACCTCTACTGTTATTGATCACGCTATTGTGTTAAATAAGGAACATAACGTGCTTATGCAGATCATATTTAGTAAATCAAATAGCCATATATTACCTATCGTTCTTTCAATATCTGCATATCTGGTGGGGGGGGGGGTCACGGTGGCTAAGTGGGTAAGACGCTGGCTCGCTAGCCTGGGGGTCAGGTGTTCGATCCATGCATTGGTCGAGAAAGTTCATCCAGATTTTCCGGCGTTGTTCTCCCTTGCCAATGAAGCAGGAAGGAGGGCCTGACAAGGACAGCTGTCTAGTCGTTCGGATGGGACGAAAAACCGAGGTCCCGTGTATACATTGGCGTGCACGTAAAAGATCCCTTGACAGTTGGAATTCGATATAAAAATTGCCGCTGTCCGGGCAAAATTTCCCTCATAGCACACTGTATGGCGTATGCCCGTCTTAATTAGCCCAGTATAGGAGCAGAACAGTAGAACGTTAAACCCCATTTTATTCATTCATCTGAATATCTGCGTTTTGACTGATCCGATTGAAGCTCTAGATTTAACGTTAACCGTGGTTAAGTTAACCGTTAACCAGCGAAATACTTAATTTGATCGTAAATGGAAAGGTGAACACGATGAGTATATTGACTATCGAAATTTGGTCGAATATAAAATCCGATAGTATAAACATAATTATTATAAAACATTTAATAAATACATGTATTTAGGAAAACAATTTTTTATTTAAATTTCAATCTGGTTTTCCTTCAAACTATATTTGCCTTATTGCGTTGGCGGATATGACTGAGAAAATTTATTATGTATTGAATAACAACCAAAATCAAAATGTAATATATATCTTACCGTTACACCCCAAGAAATGTATATATATTTGTTATTGTCTATACATATGTCCACTATTGTTTATTGTTTAGATAGAACTTATATAGACCTTTGCCTGTTGTTATTGTCTATACATATGTCTACTATTGTTTATTGTTTAGATAGAACTTATATAGACCTTTGCCTGTTGTTCAGTCCAGTTGGGTTTATTGAATAAAATACTGTTTAAACTAATAACCAAATATGTGGAATGTCACTTTTTTATTTCCGAAGAACGTTCGATTTAGTCGATCACTTCATTCTTATTAATCTCTGACATCTTACTTACATGAAAGAAAGCTACTTACTTATGTTAATGGTTCATTATATTACTGAAAGCAACTCTAATATGGAGTACCACAAGGTCCAATCCTTGAGCCCCTTTTCTTTTAAATATATATAAATGACTTTACCCTTTTTTGAAGATGATACTAAGTCTAT